ACACACACACACAGAGACAATCCCTTTTCAATATTTTCTGCATTACACAGATGCAAAGAAAGGCATTAAAAAAATAGGAATTGGAGAAGCGTATAATCACATCGGCAGCAGTGGTGCACATAGCTACTGGGTTTTACATAGGTATCTCGGCATGAAAATGCTGAAAAAGGGATGATTATTTCAGTCATATACTGTCTACTTTGCGCCAGTGGAAAGACTTACATCAGACGATACGTACAAGCAGTGGGATAAAGCGATCGTTCGGACCACTAACATTTCGGCAAGCGTGAGACTGGATAAAGATACTTACAATATACTGCCAAACCGGCAATACCGCGTTCGCGTCTCCGCAACCAATGATTTATCGGAAGGCCCGGCGAGTCCGTCCGTGATAGTTAACACCGGAAGTGGAGGCAAGTCTGCATGTGCACTTCTAACTTTTTCTTGTAAATTTATTTTTTGTCGGAATCGTTTGCGATAGCCAGTCCTTGCATGATTCGTCCATTCTTCCTCCCGCAAACACGTTTTTTTTTTTTTTCTGTAAATAGTATCATCCGGATATATGTCGTATAATTATACAGAAACACCACCAGTTATCTGGCTGGAACCTGCCGACAATCCAGCGACTGTACCGCCACGAGGTTCGATATCCGTTCGATGCGCAGCAAGCGGTATTCCGGAGCCATCTATCATCTGGATTATCGGCACGAATGCAAGCGATGTAATACGTGGACCGATTCTACAGCTGACCGATCTTCGCAAAGATGAAACAGCAACGTGCAAAGCTGAAAATAGAGCTGGGCAAGTCCAGGAAGTTCTCCAAATACTTGTTGCTGGTTAGTTTCAGGATTATTTTGCTACTGTTTGTGTTTGCCGCTTGGGTTATCCCTTCTTTGCCAAGTGAACACTTTCTCGGCGAGTGATTCATTTTTTAGCTAATAATCCAAACTTTATTTAATAAGCAGTATAGATCGCCCCGGGCATTAGTGTGGTTATCTCGTGATGCTGCTGGGATGCTCCCGTTAGCATTATATTCCCAGAAAACTTGTGCTAGTTAAAAGGTATGATGCATTTCAGGTCCTGGAACTCCACCGAATGAAATCGTAGCGCTTCCCTTGGATAATCAGCAAGCAAATGTCGAATGGACAACACCAGACAGTCCGAATGGTAAAATCACGGAATACGTTATCCATTACGGCGAAATCCCAAATGGTTTGTATTGTCGTGACTTGAATGATAGTTGCTTTCCATTAGAAAAGATATCAAGAGCGAAGCGGCCGTATATGATACCACGATCCACAGGTCGCAGGAACCTGAAAAGAAAAGCAACTGTAAGGTATCACAGTACTGAGCCAGTTACGCCGATTCCACCCAATTTTTCACTGAGCACACTCTTTCTTTTCGTTCTATTTGTCTTCGTCATCAGTGCGGTTGGGGCAATGCATTCTATTATTTAGTGAATCGAAGTCAAGACCTCCTCCATATTTCATTTGCACTGTTAAAGGCAACCGTCTGCGATCGGTTGTGCACTGCCTTTCTGTGCACTTCCTTTCCGAGGTTGCTAATAGCGCTTTTGGTTTTCAATTGTGCACCAGTGTCAGTTTTTGAATCATCCTCTTGAGAATGTTACAAAGTCATCCGCCAGCAAATATAGGGGAAAAGCAGCTCCGTTTGCAAAACTTTTTTATATGCTAAAAATAGCATGGCAGCTCAGACATCGTTGTAAATATCCCAAGTAAATGATGTTGCTGGAACATCACTAACATGGAAATTAATGACTTTCTTTATAAATGAGCCGAAACCCCAGTGATTTTTCTTATTTTTTAAAGTACTAGCGAAGTTGGTTATAATCCAACTAATGCGAAATTAAGCATCATCGTAAGCACAGACTTTTATGAAACCTTACACATATTCATATTCAGGAGAACGTGGACCACGTGTGTGGCAAACAGTGCGCGTATCTGGCGACAAGCCACAAAAATACCGCCTTTCTGGGCTGAAACCGAAAACTTATTATGCCATCCGGGTACAAGCAATTAGCGATCGAGGGCCAGGCGTTGTTTCAGATGTCGTCAAAATGAAGACGTTACCAGTAGGTGCGTGTTGCGTAAGAGTTATTCTCTTATCAGCACCAGAAATGCTAAGATCGTCCGGACTTTCACATTTGTCAACTTTTCTAGCTATTTTGCAGTTTAGCGTATTAATAAACTGTATTTTCTGTTGCTCATGAATAATTTGCTTAAATTTAGCTCCTGCTGTCGTGAAGCCAGCTGATATCAAAGTGCATGACAATAATACAGTTGCAGTAAGATTTAGCGCGCCGCGGGATCCAGAAGATCCAAGGAAGCCTATTAAGGTTTGTTGTCAGTACTGGGCTTATTTTTGTTACTTAGTTTTGGACAGCTGCGTGGGTTAAAGTGATTTTGATGCATAGAATGAATTAATCATTTTTCCCCAGGATTGCCCAGACCGCTTTGTCAGTGAGTGTCGGGATCCGATGTTAAAAATGTTGCTAGGATGTGAAGGGTTCCCTTGTCTTATGAACAATATACTAGGTTCCAGAAACCAACTAGAACGCCGGGAAATTGTCCATAACGTGCTGAGCTGATCAAGCAATGCCAACTTCTCCGATAATCTGAAAATAGTGTGGATTTTGAGTCAACGAAGTGTTGCAGGAATTCGTTGTGCACTATACGGCCGACGATCCATCAAGCGATGATGCCCAGTGGAAAGAAATGTTCTGGACGGAGCCCGACGATGATTTCTCAGTGAGTATACCGATCGGCGGCGAACACTTCAAACCGGACACCAAATATTCAATCAAGGTTTGACGGTTTTCATTTATCCTGATATGTGAAAGTCAAAGTCAAAAATCAGAACCTTCTCCGTATTTGCTCCTTTGTAAGAAGCAAAAGCAGATGGAAGTAGTCCGGCGCGAGCAAATGCCAATAGCAGCCAGTCGCTGGCTAGACTCTCGATAACTCTCTCTTTCGAAGGTTATTTAAAAGCAAACTCATAGAAGGTTTGACTTCCTGTCGTATACCGTTAGTAGTTTAACTCTGAACCAGTGAATGACTGTTCTCGTAGAGAAACTGACTATTTTACTATCAACTTAAGGACAGTGCTAATTCATGTCCGCTAACGTGTGAAAGTTAATAGAAAATTAAGGCGTGTTTTGATCCACTTAAGCTATCTTTCTTCTACCAAAAATACTTTTTATTATTTAAATGTTTCGACAGACTAAGGAAGTTAAACGGCTTAGAGTACGATACCTTGACATAGTTGTGCCAGGTCTGTAGCTGCATTTTAAAAAATTTTGATTTTCTTTTGTTTAATATTAGCAGAATTTCTTTTCCACATGGCCAACCTTTTTTCAGGTAACAGCACGTGGCGAAATTGATAGCCCATCGTCAGAACCGATTGTATTCCAAACCGGAGATGGAAGTATATATTTATGTCATAATTACTGCATTTTAGTAATACATACTTTTTTCCTAAAATTTCTAAATCTAAATCAAATTCCTACGTACTTTTAAAAACTCACAGATTTCAGATATAGAATTTGAGGATCCCCAAGATATTTGGGATCAATATTCAAAAATATTGCTATATCGTAAATCAGCGATTATTTTGTTTTTACAGTAATTCCGCCCGAGAAACCGCAAATCAATGTTGATGCACCAGATAATGTGATTCGCTTACCAGCTGGTAGCGATTATACCGTCAGTTGTTCTTCGAGTGGATATCCGCCACCAGTAATTACTTGGATTGATAAGGATGGACGGGTAAGTCGCGCGTTTTTATTCGTTTTTGCTGCAACTATGTTGTGAACGCCCTGTCTGTGTATATATTTTTGTTTGTGTGGTTCGCCGAGTGTATTTTACCCTGATTTCTCAACTCAAGGACCTGATAAGCTAGAAAACTAAAATTTTGGGAGAAGGTTCCCTGCCCACGTGCGGCTCGATAATTTAAATTCACTCTTCACGTAAGTTTGGATGTTATGTATGGCCAAGTGAAATTTTTGGTGAGAAAATTGTTGGCCCGAAAACTGAAAAAACTGAGGGGATGAAATTTTAGGAGGATGTTCTCCCGTCCATGTATAAACATTTCAAATCCAGTTTTTTGGGCACTTGGGCCTCTCGTACAGACCCTTGAAAATTGTGGCGGGAATGTACCTAACTCTAGAGCCAGAAAAAGTAGGAAGCTAGGTTTAAGGAAAGTTTTACATACCTGTATGGGACATCGAAGTTTTTGAATTCAGGTTCAGCATGAGCCTAAGTTTCACGTGAGGACACATGAAGTCTGGAAGGAAATTTCCCAACTCCACAAAAAGCTAAAGTTTCAGAATTTTTCCTGACCGTGTGCTACTCATAGGTTTCACATAAGAAAGCATGAAAGTTTTAGACAACCGGAACAGTCCAGCCATTTCCCCAAATATCGATCAGTAAACCACAGAAAATTTTTGACAACAGGCGTCCGCAAGATAGGACTGCGCAAAACGCCTGGTCGCACCAGCTAACTTGATGCACGCTAATATTTGTTCCTTAATACCATCAAATTTGTAAAGTACCGCCACAACACAAAGTACACGGATCTAAAAAATGATTTGGAGAGTTGTCGGATTGGATAGCAGGAAAAGAGAAAATAGAGGGCTGCCTTTATCTAATCAGTACCCTATCATGTTTTTTGAAATTAAGCGTTCTCCTCGGCTGTCTTTCTGAAACAAACAGTAAGGTGGTTTTTTCAGGGAAATGAAAATTTGTAAAAATTGCTTGTTTTGGGCAATTAAATTTTACGAAGTTTGCAAGATTTGCAAAAATGCTTAAAAACTCAATTTTTCAATCGTAATTTACAAAATGAAATTTTTCAGCCACTTAGTGACGGTCCAATGCTGCGATTGCAAGATGTCAAGGAGACAGTAAAAGCAAAATGTGTTGCTGAAAATGATGGCGGTCGCGCTGAAACACCATTCGAAGTTTTTGTTGTTGGTATGTCTGTCTTATACAGCTTATTTGTATTTATCGAATGCCACAAGGGGTGATGGATTAATTCAAATCACTAGCAGCTTTAAAATTTATCATGTACGAGTACACTAGAAAATGTGCCTGAATTGAACCAAAATGATCAGCTTTAATCTGTTTACGTACTGTTGGGGATTGCGTGAATACCACTTATTTGATATGCGAAATAAGCCATTGGTGTGTGTGTGT